CCAAATGCAAATACTAAACTTTAATCTCTACTGTAGTGGTATGAAGGCAAGGACCTTTGGAGAAATGATTCAGCTCATGACTATCCTCATGAATGGAGTATTCCCTTAAAGGAGCTGGGGGGAATTCACTCAGGCCCCTTATTCCCTTCCTTTCACCTTGTGAAGGCAATGCAACCAAATACCATCTTGGAACTCAGAGCGAGCTCTTGCCAGTCTCGGAACCTGCTGAACCTACTGATGCCTCAAATCATTGACTTCCCAACATCCATCACTGTGAGAAATCACTTACTGTTTATATGTGCTCTCAGTTTTGTTTTCACAGCATTGTAAATGGATAAGATGGTGTTATTTTTAAAAAGAACTCTTATGACATGGAGGCTACAAACAAGCACTTCTGAGTCTGCTACATACACTACATACTTGTTTTTAAACGTAGGGAAATGAGGAAAGCAACTTGAAGTTGGGGGTGGAGCTGCCATGGACGCATGCCTAGTCGAAAGCAATCTAACTGGTGTTTGACTGATAATTTACTAATTCTATTCCAGTAGGCAATTGATTGACAGACATCTAAAATTTTAAAGAGGAAAAGGAAGTAGGACTGTTCCATCTTAATATAAGCCAAGGTTAAGTTTCAGTGTTGGAATGTGCAGTCTATGGTTTTACATGGGGGTTGTTTGAGATGGACAAAGGAGGCGTAGAGGAAGACTGGAGGGAGAAGGGACTGAGCCTAGTGTTTACTCTTACCATTTCTACATTTGTATTTACTTTTATAATTTCTGCATATATATACATCTATACATGCATACACACACAAACACACACACACACACACACACACACACATATATATATATATATATATATATATATGTTATATATATATAACACATATATATATATATATATATATATATATGTTATATATATATAATCACCAAACACTCATCAAGTTGTATGGTGTGTGTGTGTGTGTACCAATAATAATTAAAGAAAAAGAGACATGAATCTGAGAGGGAAAGGGGTATATGACAGCAATTATAAGGAGATGGAGAAGGAAATGATGTGATTATATATTTCTTTTTTAATTTGCAAAAAAAATAGCAATGAATATGGTGGTTGGTACATGCCTTTAATCCCAGAACTTGGGAGGCAAGAGACAGATCTTTATGAGTTCCGGTCAGCCTGATCTAGTGAGTTCCAGGCCAGTCAAGGCTACATAATGGGACCATATCTCAAAACACAAAAATAAATTGAAAAAAGCACAAATAATTTGGGTGAAGGAAGAGAGGTGCTTTCAGTCTGTCCAAGGAAGCAAAGTTTGAATACAAGAATTAGAGGTGTGCTGAGGTACGCTCAGAATGTGTGGTCTGACATAGGGGGTCTGGGAAAGCCTCTGACAAAATGTCATTGCAGCCACTAGCTGAAGGAGGAGTATGCCCCCACAGAGGCAATCACACTGACAACGTCCTCTGGCGGTAAAGGTAGAGCAGAAGGGAGCTGAGGAAGCTACTAGAGGCAGAAACAGAGGGACTAGGGGCAGCAGGTGCCAGAACCTACACAGCCACAGAGGAGTCAGTACAGATTTAGCATCTTATGTTAAGATCCATAACAACTGAGGGGACCTAAAAGAGCAAGGGGTGAGGTTTCATCTTCTAAGGCTTCCTGGCTCAAATGAAGCTTAGGAATGGATGTAAGCTGAGAGGTCAGAGTAAATACTCCAGTGCAGACCTAAGGAGGCAGAACTGGGGTTTGGTTAGAGGATCAACAGCACAATAGAAGAGAAAGTTTGAAACGTTGCTAAAAGCATGCTGCAGTGAAACATCAGGGAAGACAAACAGGAGAGCTGATGGTGGAGAAAAGGCTGAAGTGTCACTGACCCAGAGGTTCCAGCAGTACTGCCTTCATGGGTGTAGGCAAGACAGCAAACCAGTTCACAAACCCATCATAGGTGGGCCATTTCACAGTATAATAACATCCAGATCGTGGCTTTGACAGAAGGTCGCTATAGAATAGAGAAAGATGCAGACACAAAAGATGAGTCAAAGGGCATAGTCCAGGCCACCTCAGAATCAGTTCCAGAACTAAGGAGAAAAGACCAGAAACACACAGGATTCCCTGACAAATGGATTGCAGCCCCTTAAGGAAAATTCATCCTCCCTCCTCCGCTGCCTCACCCCCCACCCACATGCTTGACTCTTATCACACTCCCAGAGGCCCCCAAAATGTTCCACACGAACTGTTTAGCTTGTCTTGGGCCAACAGGATGCACCACAAGCATGAAGAGTTACTGATGATAAGCCCACTTTCTCGCTCCCTGACCTCAGGCTCGGTGGATGTGTGCCACAGAGTGGGGACTGCTACGTTGCCAGCCCAATCTGCAGGACTGCATAGCTCATCTCCCTACTGAAAGGTCAAAGACTGGTCACTATGCTCCTTCACCACGCCTAGCACGTAACAAATACCAAATGAAATGTGTGCATTTCAAAAGCATCAGACAAAAAGAAGGGGAAATATTTGGAACAGGAGTACTCCTACAGTCCCCAGTAGGAGTGGGGAGGTGTGGACAAGGGAGGGTAACAGAGAGGTGAAGATGGTCAAAGTATATGATGCATGTGTATTTAGAAAGGGCCATAATGAAACCTGTTTCTTTGTGCAATTAATATATGCCAGTGAAAATAAAAGGCAAGAATAAAGAGGATTTCTGAGTGTTTTTACGCCTCCGCCCTCCTCACCCCAGAGATGTTTGAGAAGACAGGTATGCTTCCCTGATTAAAACTATAGAGACCAGGGTTACTCCATATTGCAGGAGACAGTACCTCTAGGCTGTGCCTTGCCCTGGGTGACTCTTTTGAGTGCAAAGGCAGAACGAGGATGATTCTGCACACGTTTTCTTGTTGTTCTTGCTGAGCCACTTGTTCAGCACTAACATGATATACGAATGACAACTTGCCCCTCAAAGTACAAAGATACCACCTGTAAATTAACCATATAGCATGGAATGTGGAAGTACATGGATATACTAAAACCAGGGGGCTAAGGAATGGCTCGTGGTGAAGAACACTGGCTGCTCATCCAGAGCACCTAGATTCAGTTCCTCCCACCCACATGATGCTCATACATACACTCGGAAAAACATTCATATACATAAAAGTAAATAAATCTTTGTAAAGACCATATCAGAAAAACAGGCCCAAGAACTTATCAGACCTAAGAAGACCAACCAAAAATGTAATACCCTCACTTGAGCACCAAAAAGAATAGGATCATAACACAGCAGTGGCAACGGCCCTATAGACCTGTCATCTGGCCTCGCAGTATGTCCTTCAAGAGATCCACCAGCAAAGAACTCCCACCTGTCTCCTTGACTTCAAGCCCAGCATGGTCCCCACTGCTTGATGAGGCCAAATAAAGCACTAGTCCATCCGTACATCCTGTCTCCCATCAGGACCTGTCCTACACCTCTACTGCCTGCACCTCTGAAGCTTCCACACCTCTGGAGCTTGGCTCTGTAGACCCTGCAACAGCTCTCTAACTGGACTGGTTAATAATATACCTAACCACCTACAAAGACTGTGCATCTGCAACAGTTCTCTACCTTACCAAAGGGAAAGTCTCCATTGCCTCCTAGGCTCTTTTGCAATCATTTTGAAGCCTACATATAGAGAGCTACAATTGCTGAGTGATGTGTAATGCATGATCTGAGAGTTAATAGCAGTAATTGGATTCGAATAAAAGATACTGTGTTTTCCCTGGCTAGCTTCAAAGGAAATCAAAACTAATTGGCCATGTGCAACCAATCAATCCAAAGTAACTTATAAATTGTTTTTCAGCAAAGCACTATGAAGAGATATAAATGTATCTGTGTTTCTGGCACAGCATACTTAGGACAAAAATATTACACAGAAAAAAAATAACAATCTTAAAAATAGGAGCTAGAGACATGTCTCAGTGGTTAAGAGCATTTCCTGCTCTTCCAGAGGACATGAGTTCAGTTCCCAGCATCCATATTGTACAACCACCTGTAATGCCGATTCCAGGAGATGCAGAGTCCTTCTGGCTTTCTTGGGCATACCTACACATGGCTTATACTCACATATACACAAATCAAAAGCAAATTAAATACATAAATTAAAAGTAAATACATTTTTAGAAACCTTACACAATACACATATGTATCAAAATACCCTATAAGTGGGTGTAACTATTATATATCAACTTAAAATACACATTTTTAAAAGACTAAATCTAACACATAAAAGTTAAAACTTGGAAAAACTAATTCATAATATTAAATTATTATGGTGGAGTATAATGGGGCAGGAAATATAGCTCAGTAGTAGAACACTTGTCTGGCATTCAGAAGGCTTTGGGTTTAGTCCCCAGCATAGCAAAAAGAAAAAAGTCAACCCAATGTATGTGTTCCACTTCTGTGGAAAAAATATTTCTTGGTCAAGCACTGTCTGTGTATGTCTAATATAAATCCATCAGCCTGTGTGATTATAATGCACTTTTTGTATGTATGTTACATTTCAAATTTTTTTTAGGTAGATGAAATGAAACAATCAAATTTGAACAGAGTCCCCACTGTAGGAGTCAAACAAAAAGCTAAGGCAAGGATCATAAAATACAAAGTCAAGGCGACCTACATCCCTGCTTTCTGTGGAGTCTCTGCCGTGATCACCCAGCTTTACGGCTAGAGCATGGAAACAACCATGGTAGAAGCATAAAAGATTGGAGATGGCTGTGTTCCAATATAATGTGCCTGTCAGTAGTAAACTTTGAATATCACAATTTTCACTATGTCCTAAAGTAATTTTTTTTTCAGTTAGAGAAAATTATAGAGCCATTCTTAGCTTTCCATCTGTACAAAAATAGGCTGTGAGCTGGATTTTGGCTGACAGGAAGTGGTGTGTTGACCTTTTCCCTAAGGTGGTGCACATGTAACCATTTCTTAGTGGGTCTATAGGTGTGGCTTGTCCTCTCCAAAACCCTTCTCTCACCTTTGTAAGTAGGCAGATACTGTATCTTGTCACCATTCAGAAATTTACTGTCCCGGGGTTTGATGGAGCCAATTTGACAGACAGGGAGGTAGTTAAAATCGTGTTTATACGTTGTGAGTAAATCCATACTCTCTTCGCTTGGAATGTATGGGTCATGTTGATGGAATTTCACTGGTATCATTTTGTGAAGCCCAAAATCTCTCCTGGGAGAAGAAAAAGCACATGTCATTTGGGTCCTTGCTTGGGAGAAGACAGTGTTGTCTACTCTACTCACAGTAACTGAATTTTCTACTCCCTACGTTTTCCTCTCTCTTCTACTCTGAAACATGACACTATAATTCATTTTTGGCCCATGTTTGACCCCTTGACTCCTGGTGTGTCATCCTTGACTCCTCCCCTCAAAGCCACAGAGTTTATCATTCATTCATAAGGAATAGCCCCTCTACCTCATTGGGGATTTTTTGCCCTTTGGTCAAGATCCTAGCCATTTTTTACTTTGGCCACATGACAACCTTGCCCCAATATTACTGCTTCTGCTTCAATTGCCTTGGTGCATCCAGAATAAATGCTGAATAAAAATAAGATGAGCTTGCCCACCAGCTTAAAATGTCTTCCAGATAAAACCCAGCTCTCTAGTACAATTTACAGGTTGTCCCAGACCTGTCCCCTGACTTACTTCCCTACCCACACCTTGTGTCAACCACAAAGATCATTGAGAAGGAGGCCTGTTCTGCAGCTAATACCCCACCTGCCTTGCATCCAACCCTTCATGTGAGGCTAACATCTGTTTTTCAGATTTATTCCATTTTCTCTCTGTTCTCAGTAACGTCTTCTGCTAACATTTATCTCCTCTACTCAGCCTTACAGAAAACCCAGAAGAGGAAAAATGCAGTAAGACACAAAGTCTTCATTTCTTTGCTATCTGCTGTGGTTGGTGCCCCCATTGTGTCCAAGAGTAAGAAAACAAAATCAAAACCACAGGATGTTTTACACCAGAACAAAGTCATCCCTTCCCAAATCAGCCAGTTAGGACAGGCCCAGGTGGTACCTACCCATCACCAGGAGCTCCCTGGCCACGCCCAACTGAGTCAGGACTATATTGCCCATTGCCACAGTCTCCACTGCCCAAATCTCCATGCTACCAGTTCCTCCCCAAACAAACTGCTTTTTCCTGGATCCCATTTGGCCAAATAGGACAAGGGGAAAGTAGATCTTTCCCTACACATGCTTGCTTGAACAGCCTTGTCAATGAAAGGGAAAGGTTCCCAGACAGGAAAACATTAGGCTAAGCACTAATAAAACCTACTTCCAGGCTGAAACCTGGTGTGGCATTACTGAGCCATGCTTGAGTAGCAAGGGTGACATGCTCTACTGTAACCTGTCTTGCATGAATTATACACAGGGTTGCCAGTAACCCCAAAGCAGGTCCTGAGCATGCTTGGTGGGATGAAGGAGTGTGGAAGCAGGAGAATTAGTCTCTTTGGGGCTGCAAGTTGGAAATGGGAGATGCTTCCGTTGAACTCCCATAACACCCTCTAGGCACATCTCAAAATATATCTTAGTAGCAAGAACAGCATCCATCTGCAGCCTAAGCTGCCTTCCCTGGGGCTGGGCTAACAGCAAAGGGACACTGATGGCCCCAGCATCTGGAAGCTAATGATATAAATGGGAGTTATGGCAGGAACAAGCTGACAAGAAACTAAACAAGAAGTGCGGGGGGTGGGGGGTCAGCTCCACATTTTTACTCTTCTTAGATTAGATTAAGGACCCTCACATAGTGACTGCTCAATTCTCCACCAATTGCAGCAAGACATAAGGAGACACTATGCCTCCATGGGCTGCACAGACAGATCCCTGAAAACACCTGAAACCGCATCTGAAATCCAGTCAAGCTGAGAGGTAACTTCCTGCTGAAAGTTTATCTTCTGAAGAGAACATTCCTAAGGGAAGCTAAGGGCTCTCCACTCCCAGGACTTAAGTGGGATTCTGAGGTGACCTTACCTATGTTCAATGATGGCTAACCGAGCTATGGTCCCTCTGCATTTCCAAGAAATAGCAGCAGATACCAAAGGCCAGCACTGAGGAGCAAAGTCAGATGTGTAAGCTTGCATGCTCAGGCCTGCCACCCATGCTAAGGCCTTACGACTGCCCTAAAAATCCTACTTCTCCTCCAAGGTGCCACCTTCCAAGGGTCTCCAGACACTAAAAGCTGAAGCAGGCTTGATGTCCCTTTCCGGTTCATCCACAGGAATCTAAGGAATGCTCACAAACTCACCAGCTCAGGGGCTGTCCTCAAGTTGTTCCACAAAGACAGAAGCAGACACATAAGATGTCTTATGAGCCACATTTAGGGAATGGATTTATTACTAAATCTCCTTCCATACAAAATCCAAATTATACTATCAATGTGCATCTGTATTTGTATTTACCTACCAGCTATAGAGAAGGCAAATGATCGGGGAGGAAGAGTCTCTTACCTCAAGGGAAGATTATTTTTAAATTTCAAGTTTGATTCATTTGTATCTGGCCCAAAAAAACAGTCTCAATGGCTGAAGAGAGTGAATTTTACCAGAATTTCTGTGTTTCCTCATTAGATTTTTATGTTGGGAGTACTCACTGAAACCTATCATTACCCACATTATAATTGCATGTCCCCAATCACACATAATCTTACAGCCTTCAAGTTCTACCAAAAGAATTTATTTTACTCTTCCCAGGAATTGCTTAAATTTAACAATTTTTTTTTCAACATTCAATGGCTCCTCTCTTCCCGTGGTATGTTTCCCAGTGTTTAGCCTCACAGTGACTATGAATAAAGAAGAAAAAGGTCACAGATGTCAGCTTCCTTCAGGTAGGTATAAAAGCTATCCAGCATGGGAAGCCAAGAGTTAAACTAGAATTAAGCACAGGTTAAAGTGACCCTGCTGGGGAAGTTACAGCAACTTCATTTCAAATCATTTGGCTAAGCTAAAGTAAGGTGTTGGGCAAGAACAGGGGGAAAGGAAAGAAGAAATTGCATAAGTGCTAATGAAAATCACTTGCCTGGAAGTGGGGAATGGAGAATTTTCACAGGAGCCAAGCAACAGTAACTTTTTTTAGTAGTTTAGTATGTGTGCAAATTTCAGAACTTATTATAGCAGTCAAGGAATCAATCACATTAAAATGTAATTTTAGGGGACATCCCTCCATTTTGCCAAAGTACATTCTCTCTCTGCAACCGTTCCCCTAAATTGCCCTCTGGGAACTTCATCTCCTAGCCTATGGCTTCACATCTTTCCCCTATTGTCTCCTTTCTGCCAGTATTTAAACTTGCCCTAGTCTCTCCCATATTTAAAAGAAAAAACAAAATATGGTGTATGTGCACACATGCACACACACATTTGTGCACACTATTTTCTCCTGTACCTCCCTCATCCCCTCTCTCCTCTAGAAAGGGTCCACAAGACTTTCCCTTCACCCACACATTCCCCAACCAGCAAATGCAATTCTACTCAACATGCTAGCCAAGGCATCTCAGAATCAGTCTCTCTTGCCCTTAGCCTGCTGCATAGACAAATTAGTCATGGTGTCTACCCTCAAAATTGTGTTTAAGAATCTCTTTCCTTGGCATCAGTCAACCCGCCTCTCATGATTTGTCCTCTTACAATCTCCTCTCATCAGGGTGGGGGTGTACTCTTCGTCTTTGATTTATTTGGTAATTTCCATATGTAATTTCCATATGCAATTTCCAAACTTCCCCAACTCAAAAGACATCTTCTAAGGAGGCCATTCTATCATGCTAGGCTAGGTTGGAGAGCCTTTTCCAGAACACTGAGAGAGACCCCTTTGAAGAACTACTAAAAGCTTGTTCCCAGCGTTGATCCCCTGGGACATCATCACTGAAGCAAGTGGATTCTAGTACAACCACTCAGGATCTGAATTATACAATACTTTCTCTTCTGCTCTCAGCTTCTCAAATCCCACTGTGGCAGAACCTAACATCTGTCCCCATTCCATGAAGTCTAGAAGAAACCATGTATAAACTACTGGAAAGGACTGGAGTCAGCCCAGTAGACAGGTTCTGGGATGGAGCCAGCAGGTGGGAGAAGGAACAGCCCTGGCTCAGTCTTTGCTACTTCAGTTTCCATGAACTGCTTGTGAGTCACAGCTTCCAGCCTGAAGGCAGTCACAAGCCTGAGCCAGAAGCAGCAGCTAAAACCAGTCTGTGCCAGAGAGAGAGAGAGAGAGAGAGAGAGAGAGAGAGAGAGAGAGAGAGAGAGAGAGAGGGAAAGGAAAGGAAAGGAAAGGAAAGGAAAGGAAAGGAAAGGAAAGGAAAGGAAAGGAAAGGAAAGGAAGAAAGAATAACAATAACCCGGAAAAGTAAATGTGAGGCAATCTTAGAAAGGAAGAAGCTAAAGCCCAAGTTCTATAAGTGGCTGGGCCTTGGTCCCTGCTTGCCTGATACACCAGAAGCAGGCAGAATGGGAATTTGGGCTGCCACCCAAGACATGGAATTTGCACTTTGAGCCTAATCAAAAATTACCTGTTCGATAAACAAACAAAAATGATTTTCAGAAGAATGTAAAAAAGAAAAGTCGCAAGTCTCCCAATGTGATATTCATAACACTGTCTAGTACCAGTACAAAAATGACTTGACACTCTACAGGAAAATGTGACCCATGTATTTCAAGAAGACTAGACACTGGACATAGCGAAGATCTCAAAGCAGCTATTTTAACTATACTTAATGAGAAAAGGCAGAATGAAGTCATAATAAATTAAGAGCTAGAAATTGACAGAACTAAAAGCTGGTATCCATAGAACCAAATGGAAACAAAAAGCTAAAGCCAGGCCTGATGGTACACCCTTATAATCCCCAAATCCCAGCACTTGGGGATCAAGGATGATCGTAAGTTTAGGCCAGCCTGGGATACAGAATGAGACCTCATCTTTAAAAATCAAAAATCTAAATTATACATTATCTCAGAAAAAATAATTCACTGTGCTTAGAGAAAAATAGAACACCTCTGTAACATGAAGATAAACTGATTAAAAGCTACCTAATCTGAACAAAAAAATGGTTAAGATTAAGACAGAGAAATAGAACACCAGAGACATAAGATTCTTAATGAAATAATGGACAAGATGTCCAGGAACTCAATCAAGGATGCACACCAAAGAAGTCAACGGCTCCAAAGTCCTGCCGTCAAGCCAAGTGTTAAGGACCTTATCTATGTGTCTTTGTTAGTCCATCCTGCCACACAGGTAACCCCAGCTCTGTAGCTCTGAGTAGCACTGTCCAGACTCCACAGGCAATGAGGGCTCAACCAGCTTGTCGAGACTCATTACCGTTGCTCGCATCCTTCCTGATGTCCCTTTTCTTTTAGTTCTTTCCTCCCTTAATCTTACCCCCTGATTTATCAATAAGTCTTATCAGTAAACGAGAGTCTCTATTAGCAACTCCACCCCACCATCCCTGTCCCCTCCCTGCCTTTAAGCCAAATCCTCCTCTTTCTCTCTCTCTCTCCCCTCTAACTCTACCTGACCCCACCATCCCCATCCCCTACCCTTAAACTAAATTCATCACTCACTCCCTCTTTCTTCGTTCCTCTCTCCCCCCTTCCCCACATACAAACACACATACATAGGAGCACACACACCTCTAATCCACTCTGCCCATGTCCTACTCCCTTTTAAGGTACTATTTAGCACTGCTGAAGTTGGTTTAGGTAACAGAAATACTGTCCCAAGTGGGGGTCCAAGTGTTTCACCCAGTGATGTGCCTAATGGGAAATGAGGCTAGAAATGCAAACTTTCTTTATGAATTGATGTCAGAGCTAGGTGAACTAAAGGCAAATCCTCTGCAAGAGAATTACCAAAGGCTGCAAATTTTTAAAAGAAAAAAAAAAAGGGTTTTCCAGTAAGAAAGACTGGAAATCGCAGGCATTCCCCCTTCTGACACCTGCTTTAAATCCCCACAATTTATGGTCAGTAAGAGCTGTGTGCAGCTGTAATCATGCCTCGTGCCGCGCTGATAGCCTTTCCAGAAGCCAGGTGTTTTTTGTGTCTGGACTTAATCACCAAGTTCAGCCAAGCCAGGACCAAATGACTATTTCATGCAGCAGGTGGGACACTATGCAGAGTTCACCTGTAGACATGGAAATGAGCGAGGTGCCATGGCAATAAGGGTCCTGGGAACAGATGGGTGACAATCCGTGCAGACCCAGAGGTTAGACAGACATGGAGTGACACACCCCCTTCCCCTAAAAGCCTCCGGAGGCTGGCTGCTCTACATTCCTGAAAGTAGTTCAACTTTTCCAGTCTGAAAATCACCCCAGCAAGCATGGATTGAGGAGCACTGAGACTGAGGTACAGGACAGCAACTGCCCTGTGAGTTTGTACCTGGTTTCTATTCCTAGGGTATGATAAAAGGGGAAACAATCCCCTGTCAGCTTCCCCCTGCTCCCCAACCTGAAGGCTCAGCTCAGGGCTTAAACCTAGGACCCTATGCATGATAAGTGCCCTGTGATAGGGTTACCCAGCCCCCAGGTCTGCTTTTCTTCCTCCCCAGTTAGTAACTGGGTCCCACCCCTTTCTCTTTTTAAAGCCCTGTAATCATTAATGGTTTGGGAAATTCTTTCAGTAGCTAGGGACCTCTTGATGTAAAGTGGATTTATTGTTGCTGTAGCTCTGACTGAGGTCCACCTGCTGGGAAATGGTTTTATTGTTATAAATGACACAGGCAAAGATAACTTAGCTCAGGTCAGAGGTTAATTTTATGATTTGCAAAACAGCATCAGGAAAGAGGAGGGTATGTAGGGCCTCAGAGCTGGGAAGAGAGGGCGGGGGGGGGGGGGGGGGGTCCTGCCACCGCAGGGGGTTGTTGTGTGTTCCTTCTCAGAAGAGTTAGACAATGAACAAGAGCACCTCCCAACATCCGAGCCTCAAGCACCCTTTCCTATACTTTAGGACAGAAAACACCTTTCTGTTATAATGCTGTCCGAAGTTAGTGCTTTTGAGCTCACAATAAAGTGATCTTTGTTTCTTGAAAACTTGGTGTAAGGAGAACAGCTACACCTGGGAGGAGAAAATGAAGTCTGAAGTCACCTCCCAACACTTTCGGACCACTGCACCTTCACACACGTGCAGAGGACTCCTCCTTGGTGTAGACTTGACATCTCTTATGAGAAGCAATGCTCGCTCAGGAGCAGCCCACAGTCTCTGCCTCAAGCTCTAGAACCCTAGAAATTATGTTCTGTTAGCAAAATGAAGCCCTATAAAGTTCACATCACTTAATAAGCTGTAGGTTGAAAAAGCAGTTCAACCTACAGCTCAAATGTATCAAGAGCTAGAACAGTTGTGCTTAAAACCAAATCATTTACAACTGCTTGGTGTCAGAGAAATCCCTCAGCTACACTCCATTCTCAAGATGCCCCTGACCAGTAATTCCTACCAAGTTCAGAAATCCCTTAGCTTCATTGCTTCTCCTAGGGGACCTCCTGCCCTAACCTAGACATAGCTTCTTTGAGTGTAGAAGACAGCACCTGTTTTTTAGAAAAGAACACCTCCAAGTCAAAATCTCAAGAGAGGAAGTTTCCATTATTTTGGGAGAAAGATGTCATGCTCCACCTTGGGTCACCTGGAATCATTATTAAAACCATGCAAAATTATGATGCAAGGGTGAGCGATAGGAAGACATTCAGCAAGTTGTCCGGGCATCTGTAATGTCTAAGTGCTGTGAAGAAACAAATGGTGTACACTGTAAACTCCACAGCACAGAAACCCTGCCTTTGGGGAGTGAGGAAAGGGGAGGCTGAGAACACATCATGGTTCAGAAAGTTTAACCTGGAGACTGACAACTGGGTCTGCAACCTCACCCAACTGCACTCACAAATGTTCCCAACTCCACTAGATCGCCAAGCGTCATCATCATGAGGCAACTAAGAGAAGTGTCGATGGAAAATGTATGGTCTTGTTAGCACAGAACCCTCAGGCTGAGTATTTCCCCCGGCCCCTGGAAATGGGGGCCTCCAGCTCCATGACACTGACAAAGGAAGTTCCACATCTAATTGGCCCTGGAACCCAATCTCAACTTTGGAAATCAACTGGAGTATATTGGAAACAATTGAAAAATATGTCCTTTGCGTATCTTGAACATTTGTGGGGTCTCTAACTCAAAATCCAAAGTATAACATCAAAAGGACCCATTCTTTATTACCAGTCCTTTTCTTTAACCACCCACGTTGTTACGGAAGCTGCCAGAAAGCAAAACACTCTTTTCAGTAGCAGGCTTCTCCTTCTTTCCTTCTGATACAACTTCCCACCTTTAATTAGACCAATTTAGCCTCCTAACCCCCCCCCCACTTAAACAAGGAGGAATTCTTTCTCAGTAAGAGGGTGTTTGGGAACAGTTAAGCAAGCCAACAAGTAGAAGACCATCTTCCAGAGATATCTAGTATGCTAGCATTGAGACACTAATGTCGCACACCCATACTGCACTAACACTGCATGCTATTATCTTGGCATCACGCTATTCATTACTGCCTTTCTCTCCCATTTCCTCATTAGCGCTGTTTGCCTCACCTGGATGTGGTCAGGCCTTCCATTGGTACATCTCCCTTCTGGTAAACCCGTATGGGTTTAAAGGAATGTCTTGGTAGGTAAGACTCGTAGGTAGGATAATTCTCGGTGTACTCGGAGAGGAGACATGGTTTCTCTGTTTTGTCATAAATCTTCGTAGGGAGATGTGGACAGTGATGCCGCCTACAAAACATACATAGACAGTTTGGTTAGTTTCTTTCTTGAAGGAGTATATTCAATCTGAAAATGCTGTGTCCTCCAGACTGACTGATGCCATTAAAATTCAGAATTAAACCTTTTCTTTCTTTTATCATATTATGTGCATGTCAAAACTTAAAATAGTCTATAACTTCAATTATTTTATCAAAATATGTGGATCATAAAATTACTCACAAGCATGGCTGACATTCAGCTGTCACGTGTCACATTGCTTGTAAAAGTGTTTAAAATAGTTCATATCAGAGGGTAGTGTCAAACCCTCTGAAGGACACCCCAACTGCCCTTTTGAGAAACCAGAGATAGACATTGGTCAGGTAGCTTCCAGATCCCTAAGGCAGGAGTTCCACCTTTATCCTTGGTCTGAAGCCAGAAATGTCTTTGGTCCTGTCCTGGTCATAGGCAGGGATGCCAGATGGAGGCTCTGATTTGTCACCCCTCTTCTCCTAAGTGAGCACCCCTACCTGGAAGCTTCACATTAGGGTGCAACATAGATTCCAGTCCAGATACCAATTCCCTCTGGTGAATGGCTTTGGAACTGGACCTTGGGTTAATTTCAGCTCACAATTTTAGGGTCTCAGCACTTGCAGGGGAAAGACGAGAATATTAGGTAATTATAAAAGGATTAGTACCCTTAGAGGCCATTGAGGTCCACCATAGACCCCACTTCTATTTATAACACTAGAAAAGAAGACACAAGTACCCTTTTTAACCCTCCTGGCCAAAAAGAGCTATCCTTGGCCCTGGGTGGAAACAGCATTCTGATCTGCTCTAAAGATCAGAACATTAAATATGACTGTCCCCTCCCTTAAGAATGGATTTAGTGGGACTTAACAATCACCTGGACATGTGTTCACCAACTTACCCCTCCTCCAAAGCTGATTCACCAGAAGTCATAGTGTTGATAGAAATAATTATCCCTTTAATGAGGTAATATACTTTCCCTTCCCAGAAGCCCCTCACTCAGAACATGTTTACAGAGCCTCCCTTCATGGCTGCTCTGCTAAGTCTGCCTGCTTTTCTAAGCATCCCTTCTCCTTTTTCTACTTTCAGAAACTGTCCAGAAGCCTAAGCATGCCTTCCCAGGCCCTCCAGGCTGTTCTCTTTCTTTCTCTGAAGCCCTCGCTCCCTTTCAGCCACTTTCAGCCATACTGCTGTTTGCTGACCTCCATTGCAAAAGTCATGACTTCCACTCCTCCCCTTCTCTGACTCCTGCCAAGATTCTACTCTTTCCAATAGATGTGCTCCAAGGCTCTAGGCCAAACTGGCATGGTTTCTAGCTGAGTTCCTGGGTTAGTTCAGAGTATCATCACTGCACACAGAGAGCACACACCCATCCATGCACACACAGAAGCCAGAGCAGGATGTTAGATATTTCCCCATCACTCTCCACCTTGTTCTATAGCCAGAAGCTCACTATTTTGATGTGGCTGGCTGGCCAGCTCTGCCAACACTGGGATGACAAGCACAAGCAGCCAGACCCAACTTTACAGGTTCTTGGGCTTACACAGCAAGCGCTCTCGATCACTGAGCCATCTGCAGAGTCTCTGCCTCAGTTGTGAGTCTACCAAGTACAATTTACTGTAGCAAACTATTTCATAGAGCAATTTCGCTCATCTATTCTTTCCAATCTCATCTCAATTGCTATATCCTCAGAAAAATATACCCTGGCTATCTTATTTCTAAAGACACAGATCACCACCCTCCCTCTTCCTTCCAAGTGCCAACATATACTTCCTCTCATTAACCACTTGTTCATGCTCGCCTCATCCATCAAGCTCTGAACGTTCATCTAACTCCTCCCTGGTACAGCCTCTAATAGCCTGACTAGAACATAGTTAGCATTTGGGAAATATTTATTGATTAAATGACTAAGTATAAAAATTGGATGAGCTATAAATGAATTCTGTAAGTTATAATTTATATTTAGCCTTTCCCATTTTACATGTTAAAAAATGGAACAGTTTGCTTACAGATGGACAAAGGGCAGCTGTTATAGCTTCCAATAAGTAGTGTATAACTTATTCATGTATCCGGACACAATGCCCATGAGCTGGCAAACCAACAGATACCAATATCTTTTTGGTCTTGGTTTGGTTTGGTTTGGTTTGGGGCTTTTGTTGTTGTTGTTGTTGTTGTTGCATTTTCCCTGCTCCATCACATCTTTAAGTCACCCAGTCTGATCACTCATGTTCCCATTGCCCCAGCCCTGCCACCCCCCCCCCCCAGTTTACTCAGGAGATTTATTTCCCTTTCCCAGAGAAATCCATGCATCCCTCTTTAAGCCCTCCTTGTTACCTAGCCTCTCTGGGGCTATCTATTGTCCTTGAATTTACACCTAATATCCACTTATGAGTGAGTACATACCATGTTTGTCTTTCTGAGCCTCAGCTACCTGAGGATGACTTTATTTCAAGCTCCATTCACTTGCCTGCAAATTTCATAATGTCATTGTTTGTTTGTTTGTTTGTTTGTTTGTTTGTGGGGTTGTTTGTTTGGTTGGTTGGTTTATTTTGTTTGGTTTTGTTTGTTTTTTCCTCTAAGTACATTCACTCAGTTGAGTGAATATACCACATTTTCTTTATCCATTCTTCAGCTGAAGAGCATATAGGTTGTTTCCACGTCCTGGTTACTATGAATAACACTGCTATGAACATAGTTGAGCAAGTGTCCCTGTGGTATGACTGAGCACCCTTTGGATATATGCCCAGGAGTGCTACAGCTGAGTCTTATGGTAAATTGATTCCCAGGTTTCTGAGAAACCACCACACTGATTTCCAAAGTGGCTGTACAAGTTTGCACCCCCACCAGCAATGAAAGTGTTCCCCTTGCTCCATAGCCTTTATAGCATAAGCTGTCATTTATGTTTTTGTTCTTAGCCATTCTGACAGGTGCAAGAAGGCAGAATACCAACATCTTCATACAAACTTCCCATCAGTGATTTCTACCTTAACCACACCAAGAAATAACATTAATATTTTTAACTTTTCTTTTAACTGGTTCTTATTGTATAGCCCTAACTGACCTCTTTGGCCTCCTAAGAGAGATTACAGGCTTGTAGCTCCACACACAGTTTTGTTTACATTTAAATTACAAAAAATCAAATTTAATTACAGAAATCAAAACACAGTACTCTGGGACAGCACATGGGGGATGGGATCAAAGGCGAGAGAGACCAGGAGTTCATGGCTGCTCAATGTAAAGATACTTCCATTCATGAGGATACAGGAGAGCAGGAGCTCTAATTCTTTGCTGATAATGATGCAAAGTGGTAAACCATGCTCCCTGCACTCACAAGGCACAAGTCAGAGAAACTCAAATTTGAAGCCAACCTGAGCTACATGGAGGGACCTTGTCTCACTAAAAGTAAATAAATGTTTTTAAGTACACAGCTAAAGAGTGGGCTTTCTTGTTACCTGTTTGTTTTGCAGGATTCTAGATAAAGCTCGGTGCTGCCTCATGACTGAACTAAGCCCTTAGCCCTCGGCTGGCCAGTCTTCTTTCAAAGCTACACATAGTCTTACTGAGAAAGAAAAACATTCCTTAGTGTTTAACCAGTTAGGTCCAAAATTAAAAAGTTGACATGTATATTTTAACAGCCTTATTGATAATCACACAAAACTGAAACTACTAACTAAAGGTAGTAACTGAAGATCAAGTGTGGTTTTATCTCCAGCCAGGGAAACAGCTTGGTGCCATCATCAGAGAAGCTTCCTTCTGCAGAAGATGGGAACAGAGATGAAGACCCACACCAAGGCACTACTCATGGGACACTCAGCCCTACATATGAGGTCTCTATCAAATCCCTCTCTCAGGGCTCAGGGAATCCCATGGAAGAGGAGGCAGAAAGAGAGTAAGAGTCAGAGGGATGGAGGACACCAGGAGAACAAAGCCCTCTGAATCAATATGATCAAAGCACACATGCACTCACAGAGACTGAGGCAGCATGCACAGGGCCTGTGCGGGTCTGCACCAGATCATGTGATACAACTCAGAGTCACCTGGGAAAAGGGAGCCTCTTTGAAGAATTGTCTCAATCAGATTGCCTGTGGGCATGTCTGTGAGAGATTGTCTTGACTGATGACTGATATGGGAGGGAGGGCCCAGCCCACTGTAAGTAGCATCCTCCCTAAGTAGATGGGTCTGGGCTGTATTAAAATAAATTAAAATAAAATAAAAAATAAAACCTAGCTGAGCCAGTGAGTGAGCAAGGATCAATCAGCATTCCTCCATGGGCTCTTCCTGAGTTCCTGACCCAACTTCACTCCATGACAGACTGTGGCCTGGAGTATAAGCCAAATAAACCCGTTCCTCCCTAGTTTGCTTTTGGTCAGAGTGTTCTATCGTAGCTATGAAAAACAAGAACACATGAGATCTAGACATCTGTAAAAATCAACAGAACAAAGGCACACCGTGTGAGACCAGACAGAGAAGCAAGAGTATGGAGTCATCCTGAACTACACAAGCTGATCTGTGACCTCGATTATAAGGCTCTGCCTCAAATACCAGAACAAAAGACAAAAGCAATAATACAGAAAGTACTGGTTTGGGCTGGAGAGATGGCTCAGTGGTTAAGAGCACTGCCTGCTCTTCCAGAAGTCCTGAGTTCAATCCCCAGCAACCACATAGTGGTTCACACCATCTATAGCAGGATCTGATGCCCTCTTCTGGCATAAGATGTACATGCAGCTAAAGCATTCATATATGTAATAAAATAAATAAAATCTTTTTAAGAAGGAAGGAAGGAAGGAAGGAAAGAAGGAAGGAAGGAAAGAAGGAAGGAAGGAAGAGAAAGAAAGAACTTGTTTTAGTGGGTTAATCAGCTAGTTTTGTTTGAGGCAGGGTCTTGCCATGTAGCCCTGGCTGATCTCAGATTCTCAGATGTCAACTTATTTACAAAGTTAAACATCCTTCGGCCTCAGCCTTCCAGGAAACACAGTATTACAGGTGTGTGATCCTACCACAGT